CTTTCTGCAAAGGCCGATTCTTTCGGCTCATCCCTCCTAGCAGTTCCGGAGGAGCATGTCATGGATTGGTATGCGAAGTCCGTTGCTGAAGGCAACGTACTACAAAATGAGCAGGCCCCTCCTCCCTCACTACCCACAATACAACAGTCCAAAAGGAGTTTCTACTTTGCCGCCAAACTCTCCTCCATGCCAGTGGCTGAGGAATTGGCTAACCTTGAAGTCGAGAAGATCGATACACTGGGCTCCCCTGCGACTCTGCGTGATTCTCTGGCTACAACTAGGTCCTCCACTGCGTTCTCCATGACCCGTCCAAATGGTAATATCTTGCAGGCTGCTCGTAACCTCCTGGAATTCGACAAGAACACTATGCAGAAGGGCCGTGAGAGCCGAAAGCGAGAAGTTAGACGACAGCTGCGTATGAATCGAATAATTCAATACCTACGCAAGAAACTTAAACCTACAGAGCTGGCAGAACTGTTTTCTGACCTGTACACAAATAAGCCAAGCAAACGCACAGAACTCCTCTTGGAGGAAACGGGGAAAATTGTCGATGCATATATGAAGTAAGTTTAACCATTTTCCATTCTTTTGTTTATGCCTTTTGGTCGCTGAGCATCTTTAATTATGTGGCCTTTGTACCAGCAGTTTTGCTATTTGCTGAAGGAAGCATACGGGTGAGCTCCAGGAGTGGTGGCAGCAGCAATAGTGGTATTAATAGTACTAGTAATGGCAAATTTGAATGACAGTGGTATGAGTGATGGTGGTATTCGTCTATTTATATTAGTACTAAGCAGTAGTAGTAATAGTAATAGAAGTAATAAAGATCTAAGTATGCACGAATATTCTAGGTCCAGATATAATATAGTTTTCATCATCCCCCGTAGAGGAAGAAGAAAGAGCAATTTCTGAGACCGAGTTGTATTTAAGCTGACGTTTCCAAAGCATTCCCGCTTTCATTGTCAAAGCGTAACGTTTGGTGTCAAATGAGTGTGTCTGACCGCTAGACGCGTGTTTTGACTGCTTGATGCTCGCATGTAGATTTATTGTACCGATCGATTGCTGGTGGGTGTTTGAATTGTTCGCGCCATCGCAGACGCCTCCGTGCGATGTGTCATGTCGTTCATGTGCTTTCTGAGCGTTTCCAATTTCTTCGCTCGCGGCTGTCGACTGTTTTTCCTGCGTATCTTCCTCCGCCCGAACTGTCATCCCGTGCTGAGCAGATGTTAGCCTTGTACGGAGCGCCTGGTATGCGGGATGGAGGTCTATGGCTCTGTTAATTGTGTCAATCGAGGTGCAACTTCCTAGCAAAAATCTGGCCATCTTGTCATTGGCTCGGCCTACTGCCCTTGCTTTCTCAAAGTCTAACGTGTGATTCTTCTGCTGTACGTGGTCATAGACAATTGACAGCTTATCCTTGCGGTTGATTGCCTGCTGGTGCTCATGCAATCAACATGCAAGCATCAGGCAGTCAAAACACGTGTCTAGCAGTCACACACACTCTTTTGACACCAACAGGAAAACAGACGTTCGTAACGAGTGAATTCCGTTAGTGATCGGTGAACGTTAATTAACGAGTGCTAGTGGTGTCAGTAGTTGGAGTAGTAGTAGTAATAGTAGTAGTAGTAGTAGTAGTAGTAGTAGTAGTAGTA